GTCGGCAGGTAGAGTTTTGATTATGAAATGTTCGAATAGCTAGGGGAAATCGATTGCTGGAAGTCGGGTTTAATTGGGCCGGACGAAACTAGGGCTGTAAGTGAACCAAACATTCGACGAACTACTCTTTGCTCGATTTGATTAAAGCTTGTTTGTGATCGTTTAACTAACTAAACAAACAAACTTGAACAACATTTTTAATACTCGATACTTAAATAAACAAACTTGAACACTAATGTGTTTGATTCATTTATGTTCACGATCTACATCATTTGAAGCTCGCGAACAAGCTTAATATTAAGCTCGATAAGAAGCTTGATAAAAGTTTGATTTGTGTTCGATTTAGAAGCTCAATAAAAATATTCATATAGATTAGTCATATTTTCATTTTAAATAGACAACTGCTTTTATTATAAATTTAATTTCATTTTATTTTATACCTTCAACCAATTGAAATTCATCTTCAACATGGCCATTATCGGGGATTTAAATTATTAGTTGTTTGAAGCTTGTCAACTTTGTTGCCCCACTAATAGAGGATCAGATTCAATTATTGACCTCATGAGTTATTATAGGAATGTTAAGAATCGAGAGCTTATGATGAGTTTGACTTTAAGAGCCTTTGAAGTCGTTATGTGAACTTTAAAATTAAATATTCCAGTGAATTTGTGATTATGCGTTCGCTTGTTAATTCAAGTTGTGTGGACTCCAATCCTTTCAAGGAGGACTGGACTTGAGTATTTGACCCACATAGTATTCTTGGACCTTAAAATTAGGAGTTTAATATGACGATCAGATCATATTTTTCTTAAAATTAATGTGCACACTTTTTGATGTCCCAAATACTGCACTTGCTCACATTTTAATGCATTTGCATAACATGTTTGCATGCTTTTTAATGTAATGAACATTATTGGGCTGTTGCATGCTTCTTGAAGTAGCAACTTGCTTCTCAAGGTGGTTGCACTCTTCGTGAGATTGTTGCTTGTTTCCCAAGGCTGCTGTATGCTCCTGGAGGCATCAACACATTTCTCGATGCATCACATTTAAGTTTAAAGAATTATATTTTAATGTATGAGGGGAGATTTTAAAATATTTAAAATTTAAAATTTCAAGCAAGAATACATTATTTGAATGTATGCTATGTTTCCCTTTGAAGTTTTTTTCAAAAATTAATATCTTATGTTTACTTGTACAAGTCTTGCTGATCTGGTGGCATTTGTTGAAGGAAAATTAGATTTCAGTTGTTGTATATAGGAGAGATATTGCTTAGTTAATTTTTCCTCATTCAAGTTATCATATCATTCAACATAGCTCATTAGAGATGTTTGTTCAATAGGCACTAAGAGATTTTGCTCGTGCTTGTAAGTGAGCTACAATGTTTGCTACGAATCCCTTATTGTTACCTATAGGCAAGCTGATTTATTCAATATAAGTCTCTTGTTCTCGCATGTAGGCTAGCTATTGTGTGCACTACAAATTTTCTGCTTGTGCTCACAGGTGAATTGTAGTATGCACTACGAATTCTCAGCTCCTCACATGTGAATTAGTGTTCAGTAAAAATCTCCTGTTATTATCTGTAGGCGGACTACAATATGCATAACTAGTTTCCTGTTCATGCTTGTAGGTGGATTGATATGAGCATTACAAGTTTTTTGTTGTTGCTTGTAGGCAAGCTATAGTATCCATTAAAGGTCTCATGTTATTCCATGTAGTCAGGCTACTGTATTCTTTACAAGTTTGCTAATATTGCATGTAGACTAGTCGCTTTGCATATTGAAATCCTTGTTCACCACAAGTCCCTGTTTTTTACTTATGTGCTATCTGGTGTGTGCATCACAAGTTCATATTCATTCTCACAAGTGAGCTAATACATTCGTTACAAGTTTGTTGTTTTGTTATCACCCGTGAGCAAGTTGTCATATACATTATAGGTCCCCTATTATTGTCTTTTAAGTTTCATAATTATTTTTAATTATAATTTTTACTCAAATGTTCATTTAGGTCTGGTTCCTTGTAAGTTCATTTAAGTCTTTGTTTTCGTTGTATTTTTAATCGTCCAATTATTATTTAGATGAAATTTTGATAGCCTCCTAGCATCTCCCCCATGTAAGGGAAATTTTAGGGAGTTTAGGCCTTCCCACTATGCTTAAAAAAGTGTGCATGGTCGGTGTTAGGTGAGGTGACATCGTGGTCATACCCATTGCTCTTAAAAAAGCACGTATAGGCCTTCAATATCGGCACGAGCAAAAAGCAAATTTCCCCGTCACGTTGGAACTACACAAATAGGTTCTTAGATTTATAGATTTTCCCGCCACGTAAAAACTCTGTGAACGAGTACTTATTTTAGCAAATTTCTCCGCCACATTTGAACAACCTTATGCAGTGGCAACGAGACAACAAAATGGTGAGGGCAATTTTCTCTCTTTCCCCCTTTTTCCTCTCTATTTTCTCTCTTTTTTAATTTTTATTTTTATTTTCTACTAACAGTACATAATAATAGTAGAAACAAAGGAGCTCTCTGTTAGGGAGGTTTGAGAGGAGAGAGCTAAAGAGATTGGTGAGGGTTGAGGACTGTTTTGGTGGGAGATTATAGGTTGCTTGAGATCTGTAGTTGGTTTGAGGATCTGGAATTTGCACGTGGAGAAGTTGCCTGGAGATTGGTTGAAGTGGGAAGAATAGGTGGCTGGATTCTATAGTAGTGTAGGTGAAAAAGCAGGTTGGCTGCTTTGTGCACGGAGTACGTAGGAAGAAGGGGGAGCAGGTGAGATGTTTTGGCTAGGAGGAGCGAGGGGCTGCTGTATTGTAAGGGCTGAGGAGATTGAAGGTTTCGCACGGGTAGGAGGTGTTGTAAGTGTTGTTAGGAGCCGTGGGGCTTCAGGTGGGTTCAGTTTTGGTGTAGGAAGGCTGGCTGGTTGCTAGCTTATGTGCATGTAGGAAGTAGAGTTTGTGAGAAGATGGGGTCGTGAGGTGGGCTGCTTTAGGTGATCAGGAGAAGAGCGGGGGTGATATGTGGGCTTCGGTTTGTAGCAGTTGGGCAGTTCAATGGAGCAGGCATAAGAAAGCTGCTGGGTTTCTCGTATGAGAGGAAGAGGTGGGCTTTGAGCGGAGGTTTGTGGTCTTTGGAGCTGCATGCAAACCAGAGAGGAGCAACAAGGGGCTTGCGTTCGGCTAGGTGTGGGAGGTGGCTAAATGTTGGCTTTTGGATTGAGCTGCAGGTGGCAACAGTCTTGGATGAAGGCTGCTGTAGTTGAGGAGTTCGGCCCAATGAGAGAGACAAAGGGGATCTTTCGTGCACGGGAGTGGATGATAGTACTTGGAGATGGGGAGAGGAAGATTGTGAGTCTAGTGGGGGGCTGAAGTCGTGTGAGGAGATAGATATTAGGATAGTTCTTTTTTTTAATCATTATTCTCTCTTGTTTATGCAGGATTTTTGGCAGGAATTTAGGGAGGGATAATATATTTTGTTGGCAAGAGATAATATTATAGTATATATATATATATTCCTTTTTTTAATAAATTTAATCAGAACATGAGAAAAAAGATAAATTAATCAATGGCCCGGCAATCCTTGTCGCATCAAAGTACTTCAACATGAGGGCTTTTCGCTTGTGCAAAAATCAGACAATGTTACAGTCTTTTTTGGGTATTTCCAACATTTCAGATGCAACGACGAAGTCCGTTTTGTGAACAGCATCGTTCGGGCAATGTCACACATTGTCACAACCATAAACCGTTCATCTTGACTGCCTTCACTCGAATTGAACATGAGAGGTCTTTCCTTGGCTCATTTTGATGTTTCGATCACAACGACAAAGTCTGTTTTGCGATAGGACATTGTTTGGATAGTTTTGTGCAGCATCGTGGTTGCCAAAAATAGCTTTCATCGCCCAATCAAGCCGGTTTTCATACGGATGGTGCTTCTTTGGTAAGTTTGACATCCTAGAATGCCGATGCGTCCATTTTGCCATCAGGCAACTTCAAGTGATTCCGTACACGAGGCATTATGAAAATTGGTAATCATGCATCCATGTCAGTAATTGGCTGAACCATTTATTATTATTTTCTTCATAAACTTAAACAAAATCTTTTGGGCATTGCGGTCTTGAATAATGCAATTTTCAATTTTGTTGACCTTTCTAAACGCTGACTGCTGTTATTTAAGGTATTTTTCTTTATCCTCTTCGAATGAAAAATATTTTATTTGTGGTCAACTTAGAAACGGAACATGAGAGATTAAAACTTAATGGCATAGGGCTCGTCTTTTATTATCCAAGTTTTTTCTGCTTCTCGGTTGATGAATATGTAACATTTGCTACATTCATCATGCTGCCTGCTCTGAACTATTATGTTTGCAGCCCCTTTCACAGCAGACAAGAATGACGTTTCCAGGTAGATTGAATGCACCACCTGCATACATACCTCTGCAAGTTTCCAATCTATCCTCATGGCCAAGAGAAGAAAACACAAGAAGTTATCCCTATGGTGTCAATAATGCGTGTACAATTCCAAGCTTTTCTGATTTAAATCTTCTACACAAATCTTCAATGGTGGCTCTTAGGGACAATGGCTCATCTGATAATCCGGTATATGTTGCAGGGTTAATATGAGATGTGTAGTTTTTGTCTGTTAATCATACTATGCTTCATCTGCTTATATGTCTAGATATTGGTCAAATTTTCTGGATATCCTTGCTTGACTGTTTCTTTTGTTTTTTCCATTTCTCATTTAACTAATATTCTTTATGGCGAAAAAGTCATTGGCTCTTCTCAGATTTGATGATTGATTTCAAATCTTTGAGGCTTTTACATGTATAAATATGTGCTAACATTCATGCTTGTTATGAAGTTTTCAAATGTTAATTTTCACTGTTGATTTCAATATAAACAAACCACCATTATGACTAGTTATTTGAAGATTCATAGGGAGATGCAAACTTAATGAAAGTTTTATTCATTTTTTGCTTTTGTAAAATAGGTGTGAAAAGTTGAGGAAAGTACACACAAAGTGAAGGAAATAATTATATAATTGAGTAGCTTTATGGTGGAGATTCGCAAAATGATGATAGTAAGGATAACCTCCATGAGTAGTCCTTCAACATGAACATTTTCCCCTTTTTTGGAAGTCCTACAAGGGAGCTTACTCACACTTTCAAGTATTTCTAACTTAAAGGTGGATTCACACACAGAATATTTCAAAACTATTAAATTTTTTATTCATACAATAACAACCACATGAGCCATTCCATGGGAATTGATTACAAGAGAGAGGAGGTCAGGGAAGGGTGGTTGGCCAAGGGTCTATATAAGAAAAAATGGAGTAATTATTGTGGGGGTTTTGAAGGGTTGCATTTAGGTTTCAAGAAGATGCTTATTTATGTATTTTTTTCAAGGGAAGGAAGGGACCAACAACTTTTATGAGGAGAAAGGAGAGAGAAGGACTGTTGATTGGCTTGGAGGAGGGGTATAAGTTAGTTTAACTTTTGTGATAAATATATGATATAAAGAATTTTACATCATACATAAAATCCTTACCATGCAAATTTTACTCAAAATAAAATACATAGAAAAAACTCTTAAAACAAAATTCTAGTGACTACAATAGAAACATACTTCATCAATTCCCCTTGCTTTGAAGGATTCACTTCTGATGAATGAAGCTCTTAATTTTGTTGAAGTAAATCAAGAAAAGCTATTGAAGCTCCTCAAGTCTCAACTATGAATCATCTAATTATAAATGACCCTTCCAACTACAAGATGCCGTTGGACTTCATTTGCAGTATAAGTGATTTGGTTGTTCAAGATTATGTCAAGACAATGAGATCTACGAATAGTTAACAAGGGTATTGATGAAAAAGACATGTCCATGAAATCTATGTACATGTCAATAGGAAAAATATAAACATTAGTATCAATAATTTTATTCATAGTATGGTACAAATCTATGTTTTCTACATTAAACATTGGGGAGACCCCCAACATTCATTGGAAGATTGAATACATAGGTATTATCATTTATCTTTCTTACATATTTATATCGTCCAGGGCCTAGAAGTCGGTTTATTTATGGCTATAATTGGAAACCTCAAGCCTCATTTCATTAACATTATGTATTCACATCTCTCTCATTAAATTCAATTATCCCGTTACATGAAAGAACACAATATTTATATTTTTATAATTAATTACATTTTTTGTTAAATTTCTCAGTGAAAGTTATGCATGCTTTGTGCTCTTGATTAGGCAAATTAACTAACCCTCTATGCAATAGGGGTTATATGTGTTTGTAGGGTTCAAAACTAGTCGTAATTTGGAAATGACTTGTTTCGATTAACCTATTGATGAAATGAACCACAATTACAAGAATATTCATACCTTCGCATCATGCAAGGTAAGCCTCAAGCAAAATTCATACGCAAATCCTCCCATGATTTGTATGTGATAAGAAGTGGGCTATAGAAGTCAAAATTTTATTTCTTTCCTTTTCTAATTGGTAAACATGACGTTGGTTAACAACACTAGTGATGCATTGTTTAAGACTAGGCTAATAAAATTGACCATTGAAAACTGCTAATCTTCTCATATCCGAAATGTTTTGTTGCTTCTTTGGCATTCAATTCCTTAATGAGAAAATTATGGAGTAAGGAAGCATGAATGCATAGACTATTCTCTAAGAATAAAATAGCCATCTTGCATTTGTCTTTCAGTGTTAACTATAGGGCCATCTTTTGTTCGTAACCTGCAGATTTGATCAAATTCTCAAAGTGGGGTAGTTAGGGATCATCCTGTCAAATTCAACAACCTTTATGTCTTTCATGTAAAAAAGTGATGATTATACTAAGCGCATTAAACACTTTTTATTAATACCAACCTTGTGTTTGAGGACAAAGGTTTACTCTTGAAGAAATTATATCTGCTTGACATGTTAGGAACTGTATTTCTTTTGAACATTCAAATATTTGAGAGCTTCGTGATCTAAATAGAGTGCAAGCGCTCTAAACAGAAGATAACGATTCAAATATCAGAGTGCTTGCAATAACTGATGAACCACCCTCTTTTGGTTTTAGAAGAAAAGAAATGGTATAAGAAGACGTACTCTTCTTACTGAATTTTTTTGTAATGACTCAACAATTTCTTCAACATGTTCATCAGGCTTATCAATAATAAGGTAAATTTTGACGAGCATATTCAACCACAAAATCTTTGGAATGTTGTATTTTCCTTAATAATGTTAATTCACTGAGAAACTCATAAGGATAGCTATTCTAAACTAACATAAATGCTCATTTATCTCAAGTGGGAGGGGAGTAGACACAACAACAGTTTGACTTTATGTGCTTAAAGTGACCAAGACATAATTGGAGCCATGATCACTAGAACTCTCTACAATTAATAGTATGAACGGGTTTCTTATATGCAGGGCCAAATGACTCTTAGGATTTTTTTACGTTAATTTATAGAGTTGTAGCTCCTTGTTAAATTTTTCACCTTCTAAAATGACCATCATTTGAAGTCCTTGTCCATATTTGTAAGCCAATCCGTGCACACATTTGGATACAGATGAATGCCAGAAGTATTTGGTACCACCTTGAATTTTTGGATGATGTCATCATCAAAATTTCACTCATTGTGTCACGAGGTAGCATAATAATGATTAAGACCATAAGTACCCTCTTGCTAATAACATGCATAGGTTGAGATGCTAAGCCTCCATATTGACTCATAGGCCATTTAGCCTCTCAGTTGTTAAGTTGTGAAGCCTAATTTTTTTTCTTATAAAAAACTGTGTTATGTAATCTTAGTCATTCGTCAATCTTAATAGTAAAGTTGTGGGCCCCCCACCTCTCATGGGAGGATTCAATTTTTGTGAATTATTTCATTAAGGATGTTTTGAGAAATGAATGTATTTTCCAAATGCCTTATATTTTTTTCTTTATAAAGTTGGAGATGTCATGTTTTTTTGGTATGAGAGGATTTCAGATTTTAATTCTCGAAATCTACAGTGGTGACAACAAAATTTACCCATCAAATGGATGAAATTGTATAAAATTGTGTTATTTGTGTTAATTTTCTTTTATATTTTTAATTTTTTTATGCACTATGTGCTTAAATTATGTTTTGCACTAGCCAATTGGGTATTGAGGCGTTTTTCTTTTGTGAGGCGGGCGTAAGCCTCAAGGCGTTTTGAGGGGTTAGCCTCAAAATTCAAAAATTGCGTAAAGTGAAAATAATGATTAAAAGTAATTTTTT